TGTGGAGTAACTAGACGAAAGGAATGGGGTACAGTCATTTTAAAGCTCCCTCTCTGCGTGGGCCACTCTTCCACCGACGACTATTCACGCTGTCGCCCATTTCTCCTGCATGCATCTCATGGGCATAAATATATTGAGTGCGATAATTCTGTACTCTTTCAATTATGTGCTTGTGCTCATACATCACTCAACAACTTCTTGTGCAGTTCTTAAAAGTGACTTCACTGCCACGACGCCATGTGGTGACCAGCGCTCTCTGGGCGTCGGTTATGCATCGCGTTGAACAGCCCATGGCAAAATGACAACACGGTCCGAATGAGCGCGCAGGCACGCAGATCCTAATCTTTTACAGATACCATCGAAAGAAAATGTTTCGATTTTTAACGAGAGGACCGCCATAAATAAGCCCAAGGAAACCAAGGCAGTATTGCAGTCCTAGACGCGACCCTCACGGCAAGACCTTACACACCGTCAACGGTCACGCGGCTAAAACCACGGCAGCCGTATGGGTGTGGCTAATGCGATGAACAATGACCACAGAGATGAACCAGTTTCATCAGCCGAGCGGCTCGGCTGTGGAAAATGGTACAAGGTGCTAAGAAGGCAAGGCACGAGACAAGCCATGTTTCAAGAATGACATCTGCACGCATTATAACCTCGCACTCAAGCCTTGCAGCAAAACTTCCCTCGCGCGTAAACTGTTGACAACGCGGCAACACGGCAACAATCCTCAAACCTTAAATCCTTCCTTCGCGCCCGCCTCCTTGCCGGGCGCCTTGGCGCCGCCCTTGTCGGAAGTCATGCCGACCACGCACCGCCGCCTTCGGGTCCCGGCACGCAGTGTCGCCCAGCTGGCGGCGGTCACCTCTCGATGACCTCACCTCACGTGACACCGCCGCGGGCAGGGCAGCGGCCAAGGTGACCCCGGCGACCCGTGGCCGGCGCCAGCGCTCCGCCAATCAGAGGCTCCGGCTGCGAGCCCCTTGTCAGTGATATTTTGAGTCGTACCTGACGTGTGCGGTTTGTGGGTTTTTTCGCTGTTCCCAAACTATTGTGACACACTTGCTGTGACGTTATCGGGCGCAGCTTGTAGACGGCGTTAAAAATCACTCTCAATCAATCATTCGTTCATTCTCGTCACGTAACCGCCGGCCCGAGCAACGTGACCTATGTGCTATTCATGCGTGCCAGACTGGCTTTTGCAATCAAGAAAACAGGCACATCCAGCACAAGCAACACAAACCAATTAATTCATAAAACGAATGGAAATGTACCGGTTATAATGTACAGACTATACTGATCACTGGTTTCGTGTGCCTTGACGTTTGTTGAATGCTTTGTTGGGGGTCGGCGAGGAATAATTCATGAACGATTTCTACCGCAACTGTTACACGTGGCCAAAACAATGACCAAATCGATGGAAAGACTACCGTGCATGATAATCTTGCACGTGGGGGACGACTGATCTTAACATAACGCGCCGATCCGTGAAAAACATTAATAACCAGCCGGTAACTGGTTTGGTCAGAGCTCATAACTTAAGTCAACGGAATCGATGAATTTGCAAATATTTTCAGCGTTAGCTTTGAAACGAGTTTTAACGTGCAAATATTCGGGTGGATATTAACAAAAATAAACAGGACCACACGCCAAAATAATTTCCATGGTTTACTATGTCTCAGCCAAGGTTTCTAGATCACTTTCAAAAAGGGTGACCTGTTCCAGATCAGTTTCGAAAAGGGTGACATGTTCCAGACCAGTTTCGAAAAGGGTGACATGTTCCAGATTAATTTCGAAAAGGGTGACATCGGTCGCCTTCCGGCCGATTTCTAGCATACTTAGCCATAGTTCGGGTGGTTTTGAGACGTTTTAATGAGTTGTAAGCGGGTATATCCGCCTACACCATGTGTCTAGTGTCGCCTTTTCATAAGCCCCTAGCAGCTGTGATCTGACAACGGCCTTAAAAACGCAGCAACCGGTGGATTGACCTTGCAAGTGTCAGAGCGTGCCGCCGTCCACAAACATCGACCCATACTGTTGCTAATGATGTTGTTCACCTCCTCCCCCGTCAGATTTTGTTCGTCTGATTTCTTTCCGGCGCTGAGTGGGCGATATGTGGACGCAATTTCGACCCATTTTCTTCGGTTTTTTTCAGAAGTTAAAAAAGGGCAGCCTGGGGATGAAGATGCAGCCTGACCTATGCACAAAATCCATTTCACTCGGATTTTGACGGTTCCATTATGAGATTTTCAAATCTATGCCACAGATGAAAAAAAACTTGCATTATTTTTTTCGAATATCTGCCCCCGTAGCCCAGTCGGCTCGAGCACCTGCCTCCAACGTGGCTGGGTTGGTTGGTCCTATTCGCTTCGACGCACCCTATTGGCTCCTCACTGGGATGGCCCGCGGCCAGTGACAGCAGCCACTCGCGGTCAGGTGAGGCCAAGGGGCGGGGCTGAATGTGCCGAGCATTGCGCCATGTCATACTTTCGACGCACAATTCTGCCGTATAACTGAAATTACACGATCGAATAGTGGTGCTGGAATTCGCACGAGCGCTGCTTAGCGTGAGCGTTGGTTCCAGAAACCCATCCAGTTGAAATGATTGGACTTAGTTATGAAACAGAAAATGTACCACTTTCAAAAGACGTTTAGAGAATCAATGCATTACAGGCCCTCTCACCGAAATTCTTTTCTCTCTACGCGCTTTTCTCTCATCTAAATTCTCAACTCCCCATTGGCGTTTGCGTTGGTTCTATTCAGTTCAACTTCCACGAGCAGGGCCCCGACAGGAAGCGGTTTAGGTGTCTGCGTAAACCCCTGCGCGCGCCGGGACCCGAACCCGGACCCTGAAACGCATTGCAGCTGAATCATCCGCCGGGAAAAGCGTGCCGGGGCACCTTTGGCTTCATCGCGTTCCAGGTCCCAGGCGAATTTCAGGCGGCTAGATCCATCGGAGACCATACCAGCCAATAGATCCACTGAGGAGAGGCGTGTCAAACGCCGGCTGGCAGTTTGCTCGCGACCGACCGCTGCCACTATACCTAGGCTTAGAAAGTCAGCCTAGAAAGTCGCCACCGGACATGAGAAAGATAGGCGCAGGGCTCGATTCAGGAAAGCATGAATACATCTACGCGATGGCCGTAAAAGCCGACCATCTCCCCCACTTCGGGCTTCTGTTATCTCTGGCTAATAGTGTTCTTCTTTATAACAAACGTGAGGCGTATTGTCTTCAATCGAACAGGACGTGATGATAACTAAAAATAACACCATGCGTGAGCGTGATCCCGAGCGAGGCTGTTAGACAGCAGAGATCACCGGTGGCCAGAGCGAGCCGACTGGAGGGCCAAACAGCGCGCCAACTTCCGAGACTCAACCAAACACGCGCGTTTGGTATTTGTTGTGCATTGTCTATTCGGAAAAGCAAGACCAGACGGAACGACATCAACGACTGCCAAACCATCGTGCACAGCGTTTGCGCAAGGCTCAACCATTTCACTCTGATCTCACCTCGCATGGATCACTGCGTAACTCTCAACGAACAGCCCGAGCCAACGAGCGCGCACACACACACACACACAAGACGAGTGACATGAAGGCGCGGTAAGTTCGGCGCGCGTCTGCATCAAAGCCCCCGCCACTCCACGCGTGACGTCACCACGCGACCACCCCTCCCCCGGGGCCGTCCCCGCACGTACACTGGTCCGAGTCCCCCGTCAGCAGGTGGCGTGCGAGGGTGCTCAGTAGGCGTCGCTGATCTCGGAGTCCTGCTGATCGGCTGCCGGGGCGGGACGGTCGGGCGAGCCGGAGCGCTCGTCCTCGGCGTCCAGGTCCACGTCCGACTCGTCGGCGGCGCCCTCCTCCTCCTGCTCTTCCTCGTCGTCGCCGGACTCGGCGACCGTCCGCTGCGACTGCCGACAGTGTGCGCCCGTCAGGGGGCGACCGAGCGCGCGCCGCCGCCGGCCGCTGGGCCGCCGTCAGCGGCGCGGCCAGGCCGACCGACGGTGGCCGCGCCACCGGCCGTCGCCGACTGACACCGGTCCGCCGACGACAGCGCACACCGACGACGGCGGTCGGGATTCCCAACGCGCACGCATGCACGCACGCATACGCACGCACGTGTACACACACACTTGGCTTCGTGTCCATGCAGTAAGCTCTCTTTTGGGGACTGTCCACACAATGAGCTGTCTCTTTCGAAGACTTGCACATCCAAACGTCATCCGAGGAAACAATTCATCAGGGGCTACACAAGGTTCAGCCAGGGGTCAGGGGTCCCAGGGGGAGGGGGAGGTGGGACCACAACAGGTTTAGGCGGGGCCATGTCTTGGACTCCCTTGGTGACGCTCTTGTGCCCAGCTACGCTAGATTTGGGTAAACAGCCTAAAGAAAGCGAGCCAACAAGTCCCCCGCCCATCGGCAGCCCCCAGCGACCACACGGCAACCGCGCGCGAGTGCGAGCTCCTACACAGCGGCCGCTCCGGCACGGTCGGCGTCCCGAGCAGCGCTGCCCGCGCTTGGAGGCTGCGGCTCCGGCCCGCTGCCGCTGCCGCTGCCGCTGCCGCTGGCTCGCCCTGTACCACGAGGTCAGCGCAGGCTGCGCGGGGCGCCTACGGCTCCGGCCCCCCTACCGCTGCCGCTGGCTCGCCCTGAACCACGAGGTCAGCGCAGGCCGCGTGGGGCGCCCGCGGCCCCGACCCGCTACTGCTGCCGCTGGCTCGCCCTGTACCATGGGGTCAGTGTAGCCGCCGCCGGACGCCGTCAGAGCTGTCAGCCTCCCCGGACAAACGGCGACGTTACGGTACAACGGCTGTCTCTCGCATGTGTTTCAGCTGAGCGAGAGACAGCAGTCAGTGGGACACACCGACTGCTGTCCCATATAGTCACCATTGCTACTGCAGCCCTTAGAGGGTGATCGACGATCATCGGGATCAAGACGATTCGAGCGCCGTAGCGCCCCCCCCCCCCCCCGCCCTCCTCCTCACATGGGGCGCAGCCCGCTACACACGCACCTGAGAGAGGATCTCCTCGCCGTGCAGGTCACGGTTCTTCAGGTTGCCCATCCAGAAGGCGTCCGTGCAGCCGTTCAACGCCAACATGGCTTTGACACGGAACACGAACGACTCGAGGCCCTTCTTCAGGAACGGCACGTGGTTCATCAGCGACGCGTCCTTGATTCCCTGGCGCGGCGAGCCACCGGAGAGTCAGCGGCCACATAACGCCACGATCCGATCGACAGAGGGGATCACACGGTGATGTGGGGAACCATAGGCAGCTACCTGTCACATCAGGCGACGACCACGCCGCCACGCAGGTTAGGGGAACGTTGGACGCCCGGCTCCTATAACCAGACCCCAGCGATCCACCGCCAGCATGAGCCCGCAGAGCGCCGTGACGGACGGACGTCCCAAAACAGCTACCTTGGAGTGGTTGCACACGTGGTGCAGGTAACGGGCGCTCAGCTGGAAGTTCTTGAGAATCGTCAGCACTTCGTCCTTCTGCTGCTTCAACATCAGCTCCAGCATGGGGATGGCGTGACGCACAAACAGGTCCACTAGCCGGCGGGAGTGCTGCGGAGATGGGGGGGTGGCGCGAGATAGGCGGCAGTCGCAGCAGACAGTAGCGGCAGCAGCCCCGGGAAAACCGCCAGGGAACGCTTCACATAGAAAACGATGATTTACAGTCACCTGAGGGCCTATCAATCCTGAAAACGTTCCATTTTCTCAATAATTCAACCCAAATAGCAGCAGGTGGGTGAGCATCCAATGTGGTTACTGACGCAGGCGGCGGTTTCTTGCAGGACTCGTCATGTGCCGACCAAACAAGGTGCTCAGAAAACATACTCGTCGGGCAAACCAGCACGAGGACCACACTTCGTTTGCTTGGCCGAACATCAGCAGCGCCAACGGAACTCGAATAACCTTTCCACGTTTGCAATAGGGTCATCAACTGCAAAAGCAGAGGCGCTTAGCTATTTGACAGCACCTCACGCAGGCCTGCACGCTCGCCGGCACCACCGTCGCATGAACGATACGGTCCAGTCCAGCTTGCTCACCTTCAGGCAAACCCCGACGGCGCTCCGGCTACTGAACACCTTGAGGCAGCCGACCAGCTGGTTGAAGACGCGCAGGGCGGCCGCCCAGAGGTCGAGCCGCTGCTGCTCGGGCCGGCCGGCGGAGACCGCCACCCGCATGGCCTCCACCAGCGACACGAACATGTCGCGGTAGTAGTGGCCGAACGTCGCCCTGCGGCAGCCAGACGCCGCTCAGACAGGCTGGGGGCCTCCGACAACCGCACCGGAGGAGGCGCCAGCGCGCGCAGGCGCAGCAGACTGGCACAGGCATGCAGGGGGGCACCGCGAACTGGAGCGAGCAGACGCGGCACAGACACATCAGACGGGACGCTGACGAGCACAGACAGACGGGCGCCGACAGCTTACAGGCCACGCACTGACACAGGGGGGGGGGGGGGGGGGCGGGCTTGACTGGTGTGGGCAGGCGGGGCACTGCCCCAGGCAAATGGGGCAGCAGACAGGGCACTTTCGCTGGCACACGTTGCGCCAGCCACATTTGGCACAACTAGACGGGGCGCCGGCGCCGGCAGACGGGGCAAGGGCACGAACACGCGGACACTCACATAAGCAGGCGGAACACAGGCTGTCGGCCAGAGCAGCAATGAGTCAAGTGAATACGGACACAGGTCACAGGCCGGTGCGGCTGACAGAAGCGAGCCGGCAGAGAGTCTGGAGCGGCAGACGTTCAGATCAGGAGCACGCAGACATGGGAGCACAGACCGGCAGAGGCTAGACGATGCCCCAGACGGGCCGCTGACGGTAACATTGCACAAGCCGCTGTCTGTGTTAAACAAACCGGCCGCGACTGTCGATAACGCCACCCTGCACCAGCCACCTCGGAGACACAGTTGCGGCCGGCGCAAGTGAGAGGGCCCGCCTCTGTGGCGCGGCTGCCGGCGGCCGGGGTGACCGCGCCGCGCGCCACTGACTTGGTGAGCGTCGGATACGTCTCGGAGGCTGGCTCGCGTCCGGCTGACTCCAGCAGCTCGGGCAGCGCCGTCCGCGCCAGCCGGTCCAACCGCTCCAGCGCCGAGCCGCGGCCGGCCAGCAGCAGGCGCAGCAGCGCGTCCACCCGCGCCCCGTAGCCGGCGCCCGCCTCGCGCGCGCCAGAGCTGGCGTACCACTCGCGCTTCAGCAGCGACTCGACGCAGTCAGCTGTCGGCGGGGCGCGGGCCGCCGGGGGTCAGCTGGCGCGGCGCTCGGGAGTAATGGACGGCGTCGGCTCGGCAGCCGGATCCGGCACGACGCGGAACGCCAGCTCACATGACAGATCAGGCGGGAGGTCAAAAACGGGCCTACACGAACAGCTGACCATTGCTATCAAAGGGAAGTCAGGTAGGCGTTACAGTAAAATACTTGTTAAACCTACATACGGCATGACATTGTCAACAGACAATGGCGTTCGCAGACCAAACGGCGATACGTCCCATGTTGTCGGCGACGCCTAGGCCAGCAGGTTTTCTCTCCCGCGCCCTCTTGACGCGCCCGAAACAGCGCAGCGTAGCGCCGTCCCCGGTGCAGCCGCCGTCTCACCCAGTGTCTTCTGCAGAGCGGGGTCACCATCCAGCGTCGCCAGCGCCGCCAGCGTCCGCGATAGGTTCGCCGCACACTCGATCCGCGGCAAGAACGCCGCGTGCTGCTCAAAGAGCGCGAAGGCGCGGCCGGCGGCGGAGCCCTGCTGGCTGGTGGTCAGCTGGCTGCGCCCTCCGTCGCTGAGGCGCAGGTTCGCCACGGCGTCTGCGGCGGGAGAGACGCCGGTCACGGCTGGCGCCCGAGCGAACCCACGGCCAGCGCTCGCGGCCTCAATCGCCATCGCCATGAGTCACGGTCGACGCCGGCGCGGCGGACAGCGCAGACATCGTACTAAACCCAGCCACGTCCCTCGACCATCAGTGCAGCCGCCGCCCTGCCGGCAGCCCGGCGAACGCTGCGAGCTTGGACCGCGGCGGCGTTCGACGTGGTCGCCACCGCCGGCCACTGACCGTGCGCCAGCTGCTGGTTGTCGGGCTCGGCCAAGCCCGGCCAGGAGAGAAGCAGCGCCACGATCCGGTACACGGCCGACAGGCAGCCGGCCAGCCGGCTCGGCTCCTCGCCGAACATGCCCGGCCCGTCCAGCACGCCGTCGTTGTCCGCTATCTGCGACTGCGAGGACGCGGCGTGAGCGAGCGGCGGCGGCGACAGGTAAGAGAACACGCGTCGGGGACGGGCCAATGAGTAGGCTCGTCTTCCACTTAAGGGTTCGTATTTGCAAAAGGGAGTCAGTTACCACGAGCAGTCATGCCATGGCACCACGCGACATGACACAGAGCGACCGGTATGACTCTGCGAGTACGCTGAATGCGATCATAATCTCGCGGTTTGGACCAATGTCCAGGCGGCAAACCACACTCATCGACGACGTTGTTCGGAGATCCAACCGAGCAAACGATTCCTGCAACTCAATTTAGCAAGTCTGCGTTCCTAAACTAAGCGATCATGGTTCCAGAGTTTGCTATCTGGTACTCAAGGAGCATGAAATCCACTAGCGTGTCTAGGCACAGCTCTGCGAGAGCCAAGTTCGAACAATCCAACATACTGAGGGACCAATAGTCAGTGCCAACTCGACATAACACTCCGCGTCAAAAGAACGCTAAGCGGAGACTATTTCGTCCACTGGCCCCACAACAGTCTGCGTTTACGATGTTGAACGAAACCGACTCCAGCTACTATCCTAGCTACCAAGATCGAAATGTAATGCAAACACAGGACAACGTGAGCCTGGCGCCGCCATCTCTGCCAGCATCCCGGAATACACTCGGCTGCCTACCCTGAACATGCCGACGATGGTGTCGGCGATGAGGCTGAGCGGCTTGAGCAGCGTCACCGCCTGGCGGGCCACGCTGGCCTCCGGCAGCAGGTCCAGGTGGGCGAAGCCGAGGCCTCGGCCAGCGGCGGCCGCATGCATGGCCGCCAGGCCGCCGGCCGGCGCCGCAGACAGCCCGCCGCTCCAGCTTCAGCGTCAGGTCGTCCAGCAACAACTGCAGCTCGCTCGGCCGAATACAGAACTGCCGGCGACGCCACTGGTGACGCGCGCTGAACGGCGGAGAGGTGACACACAGCAAGTGGTGTGACACAGCAAGCGGTATGACACAGCCAGCGGTGTGACACAGCCAGTGGTGTGACACAGCCAGCAGTGTGACACAGCCAGCGGTGTGACACAGCCAACAGTGTGAGACACGATGTAACACAGACGGCGGAGAGGTGACACAGCCAGCGGTGTGAGACACGATGCAACACGGACGACGTGGAGGTGACACAGCCAGCGGTGTGAGACACACGGTAACACAGACGGCGGCGAGGTGACACATCTGGATGTGTGACATAACTGGTAACGCAGGTGACGGAGAGGTGACACAGCCGGTAACACAGGCAAAAACGCTTCCCCTGACACGGGCTGCGCCTCCGACGCATCAGCATAGCAGGGAGGAAGGAATAAGTCGACACATAGACGAATGGAAACAAGCAATGGTGGGTATATGACAAACCAGCATAATAAGTTGTGGGCACATAGTCTTTGCACATTGGTCACTTTTCGTACTTTACGACGCACCTTGACTTGAATGCATTACTACCTTTAAAGTTGCAAGCCCATTAAGATTTGACGCATAGATGACACCATATCCTCTCAAACTGGCTGGTGATGCCAGTTGGCGTTCACACAAGCCCCGGCCAGTGGTGGCCACCCGTTGTGTGCCGCGCCTCGGCCGGTGGTGGCCAGCCGTTGTGTGCCGCGCCCCGGCCGGTGGTGGCCAGCCGTTGAGTGCCGCGCCCCGGCCGGTGGTGGCCAGCCGTTGTGTGCCGCGCCTCGGCCGGTGGTGGCCAGCCGTTGTGTGCCGCGCCCCGGCCGGTGGTGGCCAGCCGTTGTGTGCCGCGCCTCGGCCGGTGGTGGCCAGCCGTTGTGTGCCGCGCCCCGGCCGGTGGTGGCCAGCCGTTACGTGCCGCGCCTCGGCCCGGTTGGTGGCCAGCCGTTGTGTGCCGCGCCCCGGCCGGTCGGTGGTGGCCAGCCGTTGTGTGCCGCGCCTCGGCCGGTGGTGGCCAGCCGTTGTGTGCCGCGCCTCGGCCGGTGGTGGCCAGTCGTGTGCCCGCGCCTCGGCCGGCGCGCACAGCAGCCGCTCACCTCCTCGCTGGTGTTGTCTGTGAGCGAGAGCCTTCTGTAGAGCAGCTTGTACACGTCCATGTCGAGCTCGCGCAGGAACGGCCTGTAGCCGCTCAGCTGCGGGCCGGGCTCCTCTGGCGCCGGCGGCCGCTCCTCGGCTGTCGGCTTCTCCAGCTGGGTCAGCCCGCTCTGGTTTAGCGTGCCGTTCGGCGACTTGGCCTTCCCCTTCCTGCGATGCCGCAAACGGCGGTGGTCAATGCCCGCTATGTCCGCGACAGCAAGGACAGCGCTCAGAATGTTCATACGAATGGCACTGGCAATCTTGGGTTTTGTGTACATCCGTTATTTAGTGACAACACTCATTTGAAACGTCTAGCGGAAGCAATGCATTTGATATCAAAATATAACCAAAATTACAATTCATCATCTCAGCCTTAACCAAAGATTGCCCGGTCGTTATGGAAAGATAACATGGAAGATCCGCCAGGTTCCACAAGGGCACAAAACGCCATCTACACACTTCAGCAGACTTCTGCAGCCTGAAGCCGATGGCCACAGAGGTAGCTGAGTTAATCAAAAGTCTCGGACCTTTTGGGTGCAGGCTTGTGCTTCTTGGCGGCGACGCTGGGCGGCGCTGGTGGCGTGTCGGCGTCAAAGATGGCCGGCGGCGGCACGAAGCCGGGCACGAGCGGCAGGCAGCGGCTGATCTGCGCCTCCAGCTGCAGCATCACGCGCAGGCGCAGCACGCACTGCCCGACACACGGCCCAGATGGAGCGTGGTGCGAAGCCCGAGCGCGTCCGTCACGCCGGCCCCGTGCCCGGCGGCCGCGAGGAGACGCGCTGGCCCCACTTGGGATCATCCCCGACCAGCGCTACTCGATCCCGCAAATACGCAACGCGACAGAACGGCACGTGGGAAGACGCGGGAGGTTCTAGTACGGCAAGCTGTCGACGGTAGCTGACCAATGGCATATCGGAAGACATACATTGACAGTGTGCTCGCCTAGCCCCCGCCCTCCCCCGGCGTTGTCATGTACGAGATTAGGTCAAAAGGAAAGCTATAAATCGGATAAAGAAGGTAAAACATTTGGATATACAAGACAAATAATGAAAACCAGTCCGCAGCTAGTGTGAGCCCAGTCCAGAGTCTCTCCAGCTCAGATCCAGTTCAGAACAGAGCGCCGGCCAGACCCAGTTCAAACCCGCGCCGACCGCTCCGCGGTCCCACTCACCCGTCGTTTCAGCTCCTGGTCCTTCTGCGTGGAGAAGGCATTCAGCAGCTCGCGGAAGAAGTTGAGACAGTGGAAGAGGGCGGTGAGGACGGCAGCGCGCAGCGGCGGCGCCAGCGTGGCGAAGCTGTCCAGCGCGGCGTCGGCCGGCAGCAGCACCGGGCAGCCGAGCAGCGCGTCCAGCTTCTCCATGTCGCCGCCGTCCAGCGACGCCACGCACATGCGCAGCAGGCGGAAGTGCGCGCAGAGCGTCACCAGCCGTTCGCCGCTGCCGGCGCGGCGGTGTCACACGGGGCCGAGCCGACCGGGCGGGGGCCGGGGCGCGCGCGGCTCGCCGCTCTGGTTAGCGGCGGCCGGCGACGGCGGTGGCCCCAACACTCGGCGGAAGGATAAGGCGCGTTTGACTTTGGCATGCTTATGCAGGGGCAGGCACAGACGTGTAGACACGGATGTGCAGTTTGTATCCGCTGTACGGAGGCTGATGTGCCACAGGTGTGACGTCACCAATGCGATGCCGTCCGACAGCCACACCGTGACTAGAAGCAATCCACTCACATATACCACGCACTGATGACGAGCTCCCAAAACTTGATGGTGACAACAGGGGCCGTTCATCGCACGCTCATCCTGTAGTCCAGATGGCAGCACCGCGAACCGGTCTGTCCTCTGTGCACAGCCGCTGACGAGGTTTGGCGCCAACATGAGCTCAGTCCAGAGCCAGCTCACGCCGGGCAGCGCTTACCTCTCCAGTACAATGGGCATGATGTTGAGTGCGATCTCGCCGACCGTCGGCTCTTCGAGGCCGTGCTTGAGCGCCAGCTGCAGGGCGTCACACTGCGGCTCGCTGTCCGGCAGGTCCACCACGAACGTCTCCTGGAACCTGGCGCACGGCAGTGTCCGTCACAGCAGGCGCCAGGCAGGGGCCGCGAGGGTCGACAGACGAACAGTCTTCCCACGCTGTCCGCACTGTCTGTGCGTAAGGGCCAGGTATCAAGTACGCGTACAGTACACAGCGACCAACACAGGATCAGAATTATTATGATAGACCATCGCCGGCAGGAAGCAGCTGAACCAGCCTTACTCTCCCATCCATGTAAATAAGTTTTAGATAAACAAAAAGGCCCACAGTCACAGCACGCTTCGGCCCCACATTCCTTTGCGGTTTCAGCAGGAGAGGTCGCATACGAAAATAAACTGTGACTTCTGGACTTTGTGTCATCTAAAACTACTTCTGGGTACAGGCATGACAAATGTTTTGTTCCCTGCTACTGCTTGTTGACTTTCAGATATGCAATGTAGTCCCTCAACTACAGAGCTCAGGAAACAAACTCGGCAATTTTAAGCAACCACTCGGAAATTAAACAACAAAACCATACCAAATCCTCAGCGATTCGAAACACTTTGATGCATTTTGTCCAACAAAAAGCGCACGAAAACGGGTATCATGCAGCCACGGCACATAGAAGACAGCTCTCCGATACCACACATGGGCTGACGGAAACACCAGACATGAAGTGGCCGGTTAGTGCACCACATATAGTGTTTCACTGACATGCTGCACTGTCACACGTGTAAGATGAGTTGCCCTTTGCGACACCAGCTCGGTGGTGCTAGGTCGTGACAGATCTGATGCCAACCCTGACAAAAGCAGCGACCACGTGAGTCAAAACCCCCACACGGACTGTCCCCCGCCAGAGACGGCCACAGGGCGCGACCACGGGACAGCGGGGCGCCGCCCCCAGTCCGTCGGCGGCACCGTCACCCACTCGTCCATCAGCTGGTCGCGGATCCAGTTCTCGATCTTAGCGTCGAGTCCGGCACGCCAGACCAAGCTTCCCAGCTCGTCGAGCAGGAGGCCGCGGCGGCCGGGCGCCGCCGCACGGCCGTCTGCGCCATCTGCCAGCAGCTGCCACCGTCTCCCGCTGGCCGGCCGTCGTCAGCACGATCTCAGAAGACTTGCCAGTGGGCGCACGGGGTCACGCCACCGCAACGGAGGGTCATCTCATCCCACACGGGCTTGACGAGGTCACGGCGAATGCTGTTCTTTTCTACGGCCGCCCACGTCGCTTTGCGATTTACATACAAATGAAGAGGACATCGCAATAAGCTTCTTCGCAATACGACCCAGAGGCCGCTGCGGCACCGCACCACACAATGCCCATGATGTTCAGCACTACCAAGACCGCACAACACGCCTCCACCAATAAGAGTGCATCAATTATAGCCATACTGACCTTTGCAGGCTTATTCATATCAATAGTTGGAACAGGCAAACGTTAATGCATTACCCGCTCTAAAGATAGCCTGGTTCACGCATACGTGAATGCTTCTACCAAACGCCATAAAGTCCAGCATGCGACGAAGCCGCAAGATACCCTGCACCCAAGACAAGAAACTGCGAACCGAACACAACTTCTCAACGAAATTTACACCACATACGTAATCGCCGTGGTTTGGCTGCTGTGGCACCATCCACGACAAACCCATAACAATAAAATACAGCATGAGGGGTCGAACGACTGCGAAATAGGGCACACATGCAAAATAAAACAGCCAAACAAGTGGCAATGCAGACCTTGGCCAAGAGCCGCACTACGACGCCAGGTACACTGGAATTTACTTAAAACAGGACAGGCCAGGCATGAGCTAACGTTCCACCTAAAGCTTCGCGACGAATCTTCCTAGCTACATTATACAACCATTATCATCACAAGCCAGATTCGAGTTGGGGAAACAGTGCACAAGCAACCGAAACAAACACTGCTATATAACATAATCTCATTCCTCACACCCCAAACACCTGGGGTTCACTCATTGGTAAAATGCCCAACATTAAACTAATCTACTGAGCACATTGCGATGCCTGGCGGCCTCGGCCTCAGCACCAGCGTTAGTGCAGGGGTTGCCGCCTCCCATTTCCAAAACTGGGTCATACAAAACTGGCCAATTCGAGCCCGTCAACTGTGCCCCGGCAACTGTTGCAACTGTGAACAGGCGGGCCGGGAGACAAAGCCACAGCGGTCACCGGGGGACGCAGGTCACGGATGGGGACCGGGAGACAGATATAGCAAACACTCAGGGGACGCAGGTCACGGAGGAGGACCGGGAGGAGGACAGACACAGCGGTCACCGGGGGACGCAGGTCACGGAGGCGGCCGAGAGACAAGGCGGGCCGGGGAGGGAGACGTCGGCTCACCTGGCTGTCCCCGCTGCTAACGGTGGTGGTGCTCGTGTCGCCGCTGTTCTGCCGGCACTTGATGGCCATCAGCACACTGATCACGCCCAGACGCTTATACCTGGCGACGCGGGGCGGGGGTTAGACGCTGCCGCCGGCCCGTCTCGTTACCGTCTGTAACCGCGACGTCCATACACTGAGTGACGGCATGCAGGCCGACAACCTGCCCAATGCTGTATGACGATTAAAATCAGTTAAGATCGGTTTTAACATCACACACTTAAAGATACCTCATCAGGCCAAAGACAGTGGGTGACTCCTATTGAGCATAACCAACGTTGTTTAGCAGCTGAAGAAAACCATCTTTTCAACGATTAATCTGTGTCTATTTGATAATGATGATGAGATTGGGGTTTAGGGCGCATCGTGTCTGACAAAAACTGACACGGCACAGGTGCACAAATGTTTCGATTCCTTAGACATGTTGAACTCTTGCATGTTTATCAACAGACAAGGCATCCCGATAAAACTGTAATGTTGAAGACGAAGAAACGACCTAATGTCACGTTCGCCACTCTGCCTTTAAAACAAGCGATGCGCGCGATTTCTGTTTCGCCTCTTGCTCGTTCCGTTACGAGGCTAGTTACCCACAATCAAAATCCGGCTGGCGAACGCACCACGGCAGCCTAAAAGTCCTTTCTCAATCGATTCGTTCTGAATGACTTCCAAGGACAGTTGACAATTCGGAGTCACTCCTCGAGCAAGCTAGCCAAGTGTGACCTGAAACCCCACCGTTTTTGCCAGACATGACGGAAAAGGATCATGGGCTGCCGTACCATGCCGCCGCAAGGCCGTCCCAGACCAACCTGAACCCCTCGTGCCGGCCTGCCAGCTGAACCTTTCCATGCCGAGCGCGTAAAAGATGGGGCCCGCTCAGCGAGCATGACAGATTTCACGTCTGGCATAATTCCGGGGTGCGTTTTTCAGTTCCAATCTGACGCACCCGGACTGGACCACGGTAAGTCCATGGTACCCCTACACACGAGATCTAATTTCGGAGTGAATCAGCTCCACATCCCCAGGCCCCATCAGGATGCGGTTCCAGCCCTGGCTCGTGCAGTTTACGTCCTGTCTCAGTTCGGCAGCCGCGTCCCGTCTGACCTTGACTTGACCCGGTCTGGACCCGGTCTGCCTGCGACGGCAGCCGAGCGTCACCAGAGACCATTCCGACAGGAGCCCGCGCGTGCCCGTGGCCGGCCGGCAGTCGGCCGTCAGCGCCATGACCGGCGGCGCGCTCTGCCCCACCACTGACCGCTGGGACGAGCTGGCCAGCTGCTTGTGCACCAGCAGTCTAAGCTCGTCGCCGACCGAGGCGGCCTCCTGCGGCGCGCGGAACGCCAGCGTGCTCAGCACCTCCATCAGCTGGCGCGCCTCGGGCAGCGTCAGCTGGTCCAACAGGTCCAGCCAGCTCTGCCGACAGCGGCGCGTGGTCACTGCCGCACTGTCGACAGTCACCGCTCCGCAGACGGCGACGGACAAGCATGCGAGACCGGGACACTGTTGAGCGCCGCACCACAAGCGGGGTGCGTGACGCCGTGACTTGAGGTGGGGTACAATGTGAACGTAACGCGGCTGTCGGAGGCCACACACCCGTTGACAGACGTACAGTGACACATGCTGGTTGGACCCGGATACTGGAAGTCGGCCCACGCACTGACTTCCCAGTCTTGGTCAGGAGAGCTGGCCGACACCTGGCCGATCTGTCTGTTTCAGCACAACTGAAGCCACCACGAAGCATAGCGCATGCATGTAATTCCAAATTCATTCAAACTGATTAGCTATATGGCCTCCAGTCATGGCTAATACATGAAAATGCGGCCCACATCGTAAATGTGTTCCTAAAAAGAAAACCTCAGTGGGCAAAAGCTCACACCATAACCGGATCTAGTGGCTTAATACAACATTTTAATAACGTGTGTCAATGGTCTCCCAAGGACAGCGAAATATTCAAAGTTCTATTAACCCCATTTTCAAACCCTTAGAGCACACCGTTCCCCTATCATCAGCCATGTCGCGACACTGTCATGGCGGCGGTTGCCGGGCTGTGAGCACCTTGAGGAAGCCGGAGTACCGTGCCAGCGCGTCGGTGTTGTGTTCGGCCAGCGTCTGGAAGAGCCGCAGCGCCGCCTGGCGCGTGGCCGGCGGGTCGCTCGAGTGCGAAAGCAGGCCGATCACCATCTCCTGCTGGTGGAAGCCGGAGAACGAGACGAAGCCCAGTCTGTCGGCGACGGCACAGCCCGTCACGAGCCGTCCCGCTGCCGCCAGCTGGCGGGTATGCACTTGCAACGTTTCGGACTAACAGGGCAGTTTCAGCGTATCGGCAAGCTTAAAGTTAAGGCTAAAAAATCACAAAGTTAACAGAGCTAGGGCCAAAAGCTAGGGCTAGGGCACTACAGAGCTAATTAGCTACGCACGAGGCACAGCATCATCGCCCATTTCAGAAAGAACTACGCAGCGTGGCTTGTCGAAACAATTCAACCCAGTTATAAATACGTGCAGTAGAAACCCCTTCCAATTCGCATACCTGCCTGCAATAATTACATACGAAACAATGGCAGACAGATGCAGTTGGATCATCATCGCACTTATTCGGAACAACACCTGGCCAAAAATATCCCGCATGACGTAACACGCTAATCTTAGCCACGACAACGCTGCACACACACCCGACACCTCAAATTGGAGCCCAGACGCGCCGGCGAACGAGGGACGGGAACGACCCCGCCGCCACATCCCGCTCCCGTCCCACAGGCAGACCTCAGTCCGTGACCGGAGCTGAGCCGCAGACCTCGGCCTATGACCGGAGCCGAGCTGCAGACCTCGGCCGTGACCGGAGCGGAGCTGCAAACCTCGGCCCGTGACCGGAGCTGAGCTGCAGACCTCGGCTCGCGACCGGAGCTGAGCTGCAGACCTCGGCCCGTGACAGCTGAGCTGCAGACCTCGGCCCGTGACCGGAGCTGAGCTGCAGACCTCGGCCCGTGACCGGAGCGGAGCTGCAGACCTCGGCCCGTGACAGCTGACCTGCAGACCTCGGCCCGTGACCGGAGCTGAGCCGCAGACCTCGGCCCGTGACCGGAGCGGAGCTGCAAACCTCGGCCCGTGACCGGAGCTGAGCTGCAGACCTCGGCTCGCGACAGCTGAGCTGCAGACCTCGGCCCGTGACCGGAGCTGAGCCGCAGACCTCGGCCCATGACCGGAGCCGAGCTGCAGACCTCGGCCCATGACTGGAGCTGAGCTGCAGACCTCGGCCCGTGACAGCTGAGCTGCAGACCTCGGCCCGTGACCGGGGCTGAGCTACAGACCTCGGCCTGTGACCGGAGCTGAGCTGCAGACCTCGGCCCGCGACCGGGGCTGAGCTGCAGACCTCTGCCCGTGACCGGAGCGGACCTGCAAACCTCGGTCCGGGACCGGGGTGAGCGTTCCCACCTGTCAAAGATCTGGCCCAACCAGGCCAAAGACCCAAAGATCTGGCCTGGGGGGGGGGGGGGAGAAACACCGCCCATCGGACAGCTCTGGGCCCGCGGTCGAGCCAGGCTGCCGACCTAAGGCAAACCCAGACCCAGTCGGCTGCCGACCTACGGCAGGCCCAGACCCAGTCGGCTGCCGACCTACGGCAGACCCAGACCCAGTCGGCTGCCGACCTACAGCAGGCACAGACCCGGGCGACTGCCAACCCACCGGTAAATCTCAGCCCCGTAGTCGGAGAGGGACGGCTCAGAGCAGCGCAGCAGGAACGCCGCCAAGCGGCGCAGCGTGGAGATGAACTGCTTCAGCGTCTGCGGTACATCAGGGAGCACGTTAGCATCTGGGACCTCAGGTCTCACGACATCGCACCTGAGCAGGCGGTGGTGTCACCTCGCGTAGTGTCACCTCGTACATCCCACGACACACAAGGTGTGTGCATGTGAATATATGGCACGAGTGTGCAATCACTATCGCTGCAATTTGCGGATGTTATGAGTAAAAAAGAAATGTGGCACGCGCTTGCGGCCGTTACATGCGCTTTCGTCACATTTTAGTTTCTTTCATACAAAATGAGCGCGATGCGCGACGTCACGCTCCGTTTATGGAGCACCAGCGGCTGCATTGTCCATATTAGCCAACAGGGGCAACGGCGCAAATACAGTTCCCTTTAATACAACGTTGCACACACGCTAAAGCGAACTAGTCCTCCACAGACAAATCGGTATCGCTCACATAGCACACGAAAGCAGCTGATCTCAGTCTTCCCCAAAAAACGAACAAATTCACAGACGAACTGCAGAATGTGGCGATGTCCAGCACCGCCGGCGGAGTGCCAAACTGGACACACTGAGCGTGCGAGCACCGGCCGGCGTCCGACTGGCCGGGCCGGCGTGCCGTCCGTGGCGGCGGGCTCACCTGTGCGTGCGCGGCGAACGTGTCTCGCAGCACGGCGCGGCTGAAGTGGCCGGCGCGCACCTTCTTCCGGAGCACGGCCTCTACCAGCCGCTGGCGGGCGGGGGCAGTGTCGTGCAGCTGCAGCAGCAGCAGCATGTCCAGCGGGTGGTGCACCTCCGGCGGACAGACGGCGTCCAGCGCCTGCCGAAACAGGCCGGGCCGGCCGCAGGTCACCCACAGACGCCGTCAGCACCCGGACACCGGCACACGGCGGGGGAGGCCGCAGGTCACCCACAGACGCCGTCAGCACCCGGACACCGGCACACGGCGGGGGAGGCCGCAGGTCACCCACAGACGCCGTCAGTACCCGGACACCGGCACACGGCAGGGGAGGCCGCAGGTCACCCACAGACGCCGTCAGTACCCGGACACCGGCACACGGCGGGGGAGGGGCTGTAGGTCACCCACAGACGCCGTCAGTACCCGGACACCGGCACACGGCAAGGGAGGCCGCAGGTCACCCCACAGGACGCCGTCAGTACCCGGACGCCGGCACACGGCGGGGGAGGGCCGCAGGTCACCACAGACGCCGTTAGTACCATGACACTGGCACACGGGGAGGGGGGTGGGGGGGGAAGGGAGGGGTGCCGCCAACGCGTAGTCCATGAGCTTCGCTCGTTTTCGCAGCATGTTTTCGCAGTGGGCTGTTTCCACCATCAACGACAACGTCGAAAATATTTTCGAGGCAGGGCTGGCTACTTCCCTCTCATCTTTACCTCCTTCTTCTGCCTTCCAGCCGCCCCCGCTCCCACCGTGCTCCACTCCAGCTCGTATATAATGTGTCGACCATTTACAATGTAGACCATTACATACAATGTAGACCATTTTGTCAAATGCAACTGCTACGCACAAAATAGCAAACGATTCAGTAGATACTAAGATGACCACCAGACGTGCTCAATCCGTCAATGACAGAGCTTGAACCACGCTGCTGCAGAAAGAAATGCTTAGATCGCACAAACGCAGAAAGAAAAACCACGAGGCAGCCGTAACTAGGTACCACTGAACCACTGAATAAGAGATAGCAGCGACAATGACCCGCACAAGCACACGCAACCGACATCTAGCCCGAAAGCAGCAACGACGGACGGTATCATATCATCGTTACCAGGGCTTCGCACGGCCAGCCGGGACGGTCTGAGCCAGCACATGGCCATGTGCTCTACGCTCACCTAAACCAGCAGCACGGCGAGTGTCACGTGACCCTCTTAACCGGCTTCACGGCCCCATCAGAGCATCTCTCCTTAAGCGTGCTAATGACACTCCAACAATTTCCCACATGCACTTGGCACCCAGAGTGGAGCCCCCTCCCCCCCCCCCCTCCCACCGGCGACGATGCCGGCTGTCTTCGGCGCGGAGCGCACGCCCACCTTGAGCCAGGACATGTGCTGCCGCTTGTCCGCCTGGAAGGCGAACCTGACGTTCTGCAGCAGCGCCATCTCGTCGTTGGCGCTGTCGTCCGGGGCTCCGTGCCGCTGCGAGAGGAGGTCGGTCGGACGGCCCAGCCGCACCCGCCGCCGCAGGTCGGTGATCAGCTGACGGTGCACACCGCCGAGGGTCACAGCCAGGTCAGGCCTGGTCAGGGACGAGCTGGTCCGGTCACAGCCAGGTCAGGCCTGGTCAGGGACAGGCTAGTCCGGTCACAGCTAGGTCAGGAGAAGGCTGGTCCGACCACAATTAGGTCAGGAGAGGCCTGGTCCAATCACAGCTAGGTCAGGAGAGGGCTGGTTCGATCACAGCTAGAATAGGAGAAGCCTGGTCCTGTCATAGCTAGATTAGGAAAGGTCTGGTCCGGTCACAGCTAGGCCAGGAGCGAGCTGGTCATGCCATAGCCATATTAGGAAAGGTCTGGTCCGGTTTACAGCCGGAGATTTCACAAATTCTGATCTTTTCCTGATCGGACAACCGTTTATGGCAATGCAGGCTGAGATGGCAATGACCTCTAATGCACGTGTAAGCCTTTCATACAACCAGAACCAACATAAGAAGCATCAACCTACAGGCTATTAACAGCACTTCCATGAACTAATATTCGACTACAGAACGTAGCGGTAGATTCAACAGCATTGCGGCATGCTGTCATTCGGCAAATACACATCTAAGCAAACATTTCGCAAATTCCACACCTCGGCAAACTGACATTCAACTTTCCGCGTTTTCCCTTGACACGGTGGAGAAACGGCGGAGACACGTCGACAAGAAAACATTCGCCAAAACACATTCGTCCCAAAAACATTCGGTGGTTGATCCGGACAGCCGCTCCAGCGGCGGATCTGCCGGGTCGGGCCACAGCTCCGGTTACAAGTCAGCTTATAGCCTCGTCACAGGCGGCCGGTAAGCAGGTCGCTTTCCACCGAAACTTTCGGTCTCCCCCCAGCCAGGCTGAGGTGAGCCTGCCCCGGTGGCGGCACAGAGCTGCGAGCGGCGTCCCTCGGCGCCGACCTCCTGAGCGCGCCCCGCACCCTCGGCGCAGACCTCCTCGCTGCGTCACGCGTGCTCGGTGTCTACCCCTCGGCTCGGCCAGCGTCCTCGGCGTCTACCTCCCCAGCACGGCCCGCGTCCTCGGCGCCTACCTAGCACGGCCCGTGTCCTCGGTGCCTACCTCCTCAGCACGGCCTGCG